TCATCTAATTGTATTCTTCTCAAATTCTAATATTTTTGGACTTTATATATAAGAATATTTTCCCTCACTATTCTCATATTTCGTGTTTTCATTCGTCCAATCCTACCACGTTCGCCTTGCCTAGAAGCATCATCCAACTACGCGGGATGAAGGTTTTCAATTAAAGTAATCAATTTAAAGTCATCAAAGTAATCGATTCATCAATTAAAGTAACGATTGTCTTGTAATTTGTGCCATACATGTATTATAACTTAACACTGTTGCCCATCCCAACCTCCCGCAATATAATGCTGTAATGAAATTATTTTCTATATGATATCTAAAGTATTTTTGATGAGGTATTATGTATTTCGTACCTGAAATATCTTTTTCAGGTATTTTACCCAAATCTGCGAGTGGGTTAATTATGGTCGGAAGAGAAGTCTGAACAGAAAGATCATTAGAATAGATATGACACATGAATTATCGGAATAAAACAATGTCTTGAGTTGAAGTTGTTGATTACTTGCGCATATTAAATAAACTTAACTAACGATGCTATAACGAGCGTACTTATTATTATTATTTGTAACACGTAACATTGATATTGTTCTTGAACCCATAAAAGTCTGTCCAACGCATAAAATATTTGACCGTACGGGAATTGAAACTCGGGTACTTAGATTTAGCAAGCAGTTAACATAAGTCCTATTTGGATTCCCTGAGTCGACAAAACGGCCAACTTTAAAAAGAAAGTTGGAATTTTCCAATTTTCAAAAACTTAGAGATTTTAATGTAAATCATACGATTTCAAGTAAAAAATAGGAAAAAGATTCTAAAATACATATGTAAAACATACTTTTCTTTGGATTAAAGAAATCAAAATTTGCCACCTCGCCTTCCACACAAGCTAACATTTACTAGCTCTACACTACCGTAGATGTTGGAAGACCAGTCGAGAGCTTATGAGTTTGTCGCGGCTGCGGTGGTGCCTCATTAGGGCTGATACCTATTGTCCAACCAGTCCTGAGTGGCGTCCGGAATTTCACGTTTCCAGAGAGAAGATGATGACTGCTGTTTGGGATATAATCCTCACCTCATTTTACACAAAATCATTTTCGACTAAATCAATCGATGCGAATGAAGATCCGTGTAAAAGTAAGAAGAATATTTTTTATTTTAGTTCCAGTGTTGCTCAGGAGGTTATCATGAATGCGCGTTGCGCTGTGGGTGGGGAGGGGGTCCGGCGCCCGCACTGCGCGGACGCAGGTCGGGGGGCGAGCAGGCGGGGCGCGCAGGGTGAAGGAGCCCGCCGCGGATGGTATTGCAATTAAGCGAGGGCGCGCGCGGGCGCTGTGCGGGAGGTGGCAGGGGGAGGGGAGAGCGAACGGGTGGGGGGGGAGGGAGAGGAAGGACCGCCGAGCGGGAGCTAGATTGCGCAGCTGCCGAGCCTCCACCCGCAGACGAAGTGCAGCTGTCGAGGAAATTAATAAACTTTCTCTTGAATTAATTTTCAAACGTCGTTTAATAACCACACTTAACATTAACAACAGAATACAACCTCTTTGTCAGTTTGCGGTTTCACTTTCAGTTATTTTTAATGCACCTATATTTATTGAATTGTTTGTCTGATTTTGCAAGTAATATACTTTTTTCAAGAGTTTCTATGATTTCATTTTTGACTGATTGATGAATAGTTTGTAAATTGACGTATTTTTTAAAATAATTGTATTTTGCATTTTCTTATACAGTAAGGAAACAGATTACAGGAGTGAAAAGAGATGTAATGCTACTGGAGACCTCAAATAATAAATAATAATTTCTAAGAATTGAGAATGGGGAAATAATAGAAAAAAATGTTCTGGAGTATGAAATGTTACATTAATGACGTTCAGGAAGTTCGTGAGTTTTTCTTTTAAGTTGGATTAAACTTATCTTGGGGAATATGGATTGAGTTTTGCATAAATATTTTTCTTAATTTGAAAATACTAGTTGCTGGAGTGGGTGAAAGGGAATTAAAGAATTTGTTCAATTGTGGAATCTTCAAACTCTCTGTACATTTGTTCATTGGAAACGTTTTTAACTACCACCTGTTGACTAGCAATTGACTTATTTTGTAATTTCTGCGATGCAGTTTCACACGTGGTTTTGTCGTGTGCCCATTGGAATCACTGAATATCCGGGTAATCAGTTGCCTTTTCTCAACAGTGTTCTTTGTTTGAACCTTTTAAGATTCTTAATTCATCTTTTAACACTTATCTTCTTCACACATTAGAATTGTGCGTGCCAACAATTAATTTATTTTTTCGTTCGAGCCTGATAACTATTTGTTCTGCACCATCTTGTACGTACATAGATCACAGTACAGCGGTTTCAATCAAGTAGTGTTAATAAAACGCTGCTCCGACTTGATTATCACCTTAATGATCACTACACAAATCTACTGATTTTTTTTAGGGTTAACAACTGTTCTAATATTCTGCCTTTGTGTTCAGGTCTCGGCACAAGTCCTAGGTTGGTCCCTAGGGAGTCGGTAGGAAAATCTTACTCCTCTCTTAAAAAGGAATACCAGCCTTTTAGTCTCTCTTGTGCGATATGAACGGGGAATTGAGTAAAGGAAAGAGGAAAGCTTCGTAAATAAAGAGAGAAAATGAATGAGAGTAGAATGGATTTCTAAGGAACCTTATTGTAATGATCTGTGAGCATATGTATAATATGTATTTGTAAAGAAAGTTAAATAAATGTTTATGATACTAAAGTCAAACTTCTTTCCTCTGAGTTGAGCATATTGAAAAGCTTAATATGAACTTGGTAAGTAAGAAAACATGATCGAAATAATAAAAAGCATTATTCAGAAGCGTAATATCAAGTAAGTAAATAAATGTTAGGTATTGAGTAAAACAATTTTGAAAACCCAATATAATGTACTCTCAGGCGGCATGCATTACGGCAAAGGTTTCTCAAAATCAGTCAATAGCATTTTTAAGCAGCGTAATCTACTGCACCATTTTACTAATTTCAATTGCGTTACATCTTTGTACAGAGGCTAGCATTTTCGAATTTCTAGTGTTAAGGTAGACGTGTGCCAGAGGGCCATCACAATTGGTCAGCCGGATGAGAAGTGGTAAAAAATGTTCTGATAACTGACATGTGAAGCTCCCTTGAATATCTAAAAACATGTCAATAATTCTATGTATTTATGTTTTAGAACAGTCAGTAAATATTGTTGTCGAATCTACTCTACTTCAGAATTCAAGATTGTCTTATACAAGCTGAAGTTGTAAAATGCTAAAAGGAAGATAAATAATATGTATTCGTTTCAACCATTGTTTCCATAGTATAAGTATATGTGTGCCTTTTACATAACATATTATGTCAAAAATTGATTGTAAAGATATTTACAAATTAATAGAATTAAAAAGAATATCAAATTATTCCACTAATGTGATACAAAAACTTTATTTTTAGTGATATCAAATATTTCTGTCGAGTTGCGGGCACCGTACTGATAGACTATTGAAAGCACCTGGACTTATTTGTTCCACTTATTTGAGGTAATTATCAACAAATCATGTGGCAAGAGTAATGCACTAGAGAGGTTACACAAACCTGAAAACTATTAAGGGGAATATTGAGAAATATTTAGACTAATTTTATTTCTGATTCTTTTTTAATTCTTAAAATTATATAACTATTAAACATAAAAATTGGGAAGATTACAGAAAGACCTTTAATATTATTCCATACTCATTTCTTTTCATTTTGTTTCTGTGAAAAAAAATTACTACGTAGTATTATATGTTTACCAAAAAGTATCACTGCCTAGATCATACCCCCAGGCATATTTCCAACGCAGCGTATGGATCGAAGCCGCACTGAGAGCGACACGAGAAGTAAAAACATATCCTAGTGAAGATATCCAGCTGAGAAGACCATTACCCACCTGCGTGGCTCCAAAAGAGAAGGGTGGCGCTGGACTGGCCGCCCCGGCTCCCCCCGCCCCCGCCCTCCGGCCCCCAGCGCCAACCGCCGCCGCGCCTCCGACGCGCTGAGCGCCCGCGCGTGTCACATTAACATGTCGAATTGAGTTACTCCAGATTCAATCTGTACTCGATTAGTTGAGCGTTCCCCCGCGGCTGCAAATTACCCCCCGTTTCACCCGCCCTGCTCCACCGCCTCGCCCTCATCGCCCCTCATCGCCCCTCATCGCCCTCGCTGTCGCCGCAGGGCGGGCGACGGACGGCCTCGCTGCGCGCTCGCGGTCAGCTGCGCGGGCTCCTCTGAAAGAGGGGAAAGAATCATCGGCCAAAATCATCAGCATCACAGGTTTAAACAGCGGTAGCGTCGACGGTTTCATCTGAGAAGTAAGATTCGCAGCATGCAACAATGCTGTATGTAAATAAAGTATTTTGTATTCACTGTAATGTCCCGTATGTACAATTATTGCATCTTTACTGAAACTATTTTATTTAGTAAATAATAATAAATAATAAAATAGAAAATACTTTATTTAGTAAATAATGTATTTTGTAATCACTGTAATGTCACATATGTACGATTATTGCATATTTAGTGAAAATATCAATAGAGTGGTATTCAAAAAGGAAGGTATTTAATAAAAACAATTGCAGATATTACGCAGAAAAAAATACCTAGCTGAATTTAGGGCGGAACGGATTTTAGATTTTGTTTTGAATCCTCTCGCAATATTTTTGGCAGCAACTTTCCCTTTAAAGTAGAGCGATGATAAGGAGGTAATATCCTTTCATTACGTTTCATAGTTTAATCAGAGAGAGAGAGAGAGAGAGACAGAGAGACAGACAGACAGACAGACACACACAGACAGACAGAAAGAGAGACACACAGAGAGACAGAGAGAGATTCCTAGAACTATGATAGATAGCACCACGAGTAACGAACAGGTTCGTGAAAGCGCTCGTTTAAGCACAAGAGCAACGACCAACCAAAATTTAGCATGAACTATGGCAAGAATTTGAGAAGTGAGAAACGCAAACTCTCCATTTTTGCTAAAGCGTTTGTAAGGAGAACGTCGGCTACCGCGCGGATCTGCAGAGAGAGACGATTGGTCGAGTAACGAAAACTGAAGAAGCTTATCGAAGGTAATGCTTTTACACTCAATGTAGAATCAACTGTCAAGTGGAATATTCATAAATTTGTAAACTGAGTGATATTTGATTAAACAACGCTACTAACACCAACCAGACAATACTCGATTTTTGCTGCGGAAATCCAGTATATTTCTGCTAGCATTTGAGATATGGAATAGAATTAAATCTAATTGAATGTTTCTTTCTATTTCAGCTATTTTTCATTACATTACATTATTTCATTATTGGCTTTGCATCTTATTCGTTCGTCAGTTGGTAATTTTATACTTTGGACGAAATAAGTGACATCCTATTTCTTGCCAATTCACCCCCAAGTGCAGTGAGAAACTCTAACCAAAAACAATACTGGAAATCTTTTCGACGCTTCAGTTCGAAGGCGGTTGGCGCCAGCGGAGAGGCCCTGCCAGCTACGGCCAGCGTTCACAAAGTGCAGCCAAAGCGCGGCCCTGAACTGTGAAACGCCCGGCGCCTGCAGCAGCCAACGGTTCCTTCGAGGGACACGCGGCGTGAGTCGTTCCAATTTCTTTTTGAACTTGATTGTTGGTTGCCAACGGAACCTATTGTAGAAAGCAGTTATCATTTTAAAAGTAATAGATTTCTTCCGTGTACATTCAAATTATGTACATCTAATCGATTAAATTTCGAAAGTAAATTCATCAGTCGTAAAACGAATGCAGATACTAGTACAAAATTAATAATTGTAAAATTCATTTACATGTAATTGTGTGTGTATTCAAGTTTATTTTTATGACCAAATAGTATCCAAAATATTTCAATGTGTTATCACAATGTTTAACTGCAGAGATAAGAGTAAATAATTTCATTTGATCTTTGATTAGTTGTAAAGTTCTTGGATCGTGAAACCAATTCGTGATAATAAAGAGAATAATGATAAAGAATCATCAAGTAAATGTTTATTTGAAACTGTAAGTTTTAAATATTGGTATGGTAATTTTACGACAAAGTAACTTTCATTGAACCAATATTTGTGTGAACATTTTTTATAAGAGTTCATTTTTTTTATTTGTATTTGGAATTTTTCTTTTTTAGTACAAAGTATTTCCATTTGTATGTCATTTTTTCAGAAAAGTGTCAAAAGGGGTATTTTTTATGCAGTACGACATGTATTTATGATGTGTGTGTGTGTGTGTGTGTGTGATGTACGTTAATAAGTATTAATAGCATTATCGAGAAAGGTTTAAACCAAAAGCCAAACCAGTTCACACTAGTGATCCTGATATTTAATGTAACTTTCTAAAAGCATATACCAAACACTACTTTCAAAGAAATAACTCGACTTTTGCTTTTATCAGTACGCATTAAGAGACGTACCCGCTCCTGGTTAGGATAGCGGACATTTTTTCAACTTTCCCTAATTTATACGTGGCGTTTCTCTTAAACGTCACGAATTCGAGTGGCATTGAGGGATTACTCGATTCATTCGACCTACTCTCATTTATATATAGAAAGTCAGTTAGATCAGTGACATAATATGATCTGAACCTTAAATTTTCCTTTTCTATGTGCAGTCTGTCACTTTAATTTAAGTACATTAACTATAACACTCGAAGTGGAATATTGTATCACTTTGAATGTCTACAGCGCTGAAGAAAATGTCAATGCGGCTGAAGTCTAGTACAACTTGCGGAAGTTGTTTAAGCTGGCACTTCGAGCCGCTCCGACGATTACGCAGTTTGAATTTTGGAGGCTTTCTTGAAAAGTCCTTTCTTATAACAATGAATTTGTTATTATGCGGTGGATAGGCTCAAGGATGTTTACAGTGAACGCGAGGGCCGAAGGCCCGAGCCTCGCCGTGACTTGGATCCGGGCGAGCGAAGCGGGAAAAGTTCTTTGAAAGTAAATTGGCTTTACAATGGAGCGGGAACAAAGCGTATGAAGGGCGAGACGTGAAAATCGCCTATCCGTAAGTTTTGTTCATTTCTGTCAACGTGCGTGGTGTAATTTGCTTAAGGAGACCCCACCGCCACGCTTCTCTGAGGGTGTACCGTGTACCCTTCTTTAACCGTCTATGCTCGTAAGTTCGATGAAAGTCTATAATGTTTGTCACTTTAATAATAGGCCATCTAGAGATATAATTTGTTGTTATGTTTTTTATCTGTGTTGACATATAAGGGGCGCTCCGGCTACACATCACTTGACATTCTAATGATAAAGATTTTGTGTTACTTCCCCTTGAGTAGTTAAAGTACTACAATAGGTCGAACAGAATGAAATTCTTCATTTTACCAACCACAAATTGTGATTTTCAACATGAAAAGGATACTGTAGTGCATAAATTGACGAAATAGTCAATCTGCCAGTAAGTTCAATCCACGACATCGTAAGATGATACGAACGAGAGGATAGAATGGAAAGAGTACCCAAAGGACACAATCCACAGTCTTATAAGAGAAGAGAGAGATGCCTGACCGAGGAAAGTGAGAAGAATCCCAGATTAATTGCGTCGAAAGTTGCTACTGATTTGTTAGAAGAATGAGATGAGACACTGCACCCCGAAACTGCGGGGAAAATGCTAACAAACGAAGGGTTTGATGGAAGAGTGACAGAAGACGGTTGGAATTTGCAACGTAGTATGTGAACAAGGGGTCATAGTGGTGGTTGAAGTAATTTTTGCTGATGAGAGCACGTTTACTTTGTGACAATCTGATGGGTCGATCAGACTATTGTGGGGTGCAAGTCAACAAGCCTTACTAATGTTAAAATGTGCGCGAGAAACTAATTGCTCTAAAGTTTGTGTTATTTTATCTCGTATCAAGGTAATTTCTTCAAAAAGAATTTTTAACTCTGATGAAGTTTATGCGTTTATATATTTCACTAAATTTACTTTAATGTTCAAAAAATTGTTTCATTCCAGGTATTTTTACTTAAATATATTTCAACATCTGAACTAGCAGCTTCCGCCGTTTTCTACGACGTAAATTTTGTTAGACCATTCCCTTACATTGAGATTAGCTGCGGAGGGTTGTGATTCTCCGCCTGCGGGGTTTGCAGATGCCAAGGACTGTCCAAGATGAGAGAAAGCTGAACAGTTGCAGACGGCCGCGATTAATTGTTGATTTCAAAACTGTACAAAACGGTGTCGTAAAAATGAATATGACTCTCACTTCTGGGACTTCGTTTCGTCTGTGCTCGTTATCTCCTCTTGAGAGATCAACCCTTTACTACGTTTATGGCAAGATTCCCCTTTTACTTTCCCCTCACGGTATTTAGCGTCTCCTCTCCCTTATATTTACTTAATAAGCCAGTAAAACTCGGTGTCATTATCTGCAACCTGAGCTAATACAAAATCTTCCCGCAGCGCCCCACCCTCCTGCGTCAGTCGACCAAGCTGGAGAAGGGTAGAAGGCAATTAACGATTCGTGGAGGGGAAGCAAATTGGAAGCAGTTGAGCAACAATAATTTTGGGACCAGCACAGCCTTCCGAGCAACAATTTTTCCAAAAAAACAAAAAGAATGTAATCATTTGTATACTATATCAGATGAGAAGGAAAACAAAAAGTATGACACAGTAAAAACATATTAATATGAAGCTTAGTATGAAAATACATCATTACTTAAGATTCTAGATTATAAAATGTAAAAATGTATTTTATTATTTGTTTTGTACATTGCAATGTTTTGTAATTGTGAAGTCTTCATTACTTTTTTCTTCCTACATACCTTTTATGTACAAACGTAAGATGTTCGCACTTGTGTAGTAAAGAAAAAGTATTGAAATACTGTGGCAAAAGTCAGCGATGTTTAGAGATTCCATTACAACACTCATTCACATAACACTAGACTCAACATTCATGGTATCAATAAAAGATGTAGTTTTTAAAGCAAATGCTGATCCCCAAGTGCGTGCATGATCCCAAATGGAATGCCAGTGACTACTCACTGCCCTCCACATCTCGCAAGCGACGAGAAAGCGAAAGAGCTGAGCGAAACTCGTTGTTCTAGCCCGCACTTTGTTAGAGAGCGTCAGAGAGCAAAGTCGCGAGCTGCTCTCCAGCCCACGCAGTCGCTCTAGCGCCCTCTCGCCCGCTCTCGAGTCCGGCAGAGGCGGCGGCGGCGGCGACGAGGAGGGGAGTATTTCCGTGCCCTAACGACCCAGCGCGGGGGCCTCTTTGATGTATTTGCTCAATTCATGAGCAAATTGTGCTTTGTGAAGTGTCAAAGGACTCGGTAAAACTTGAGGGACGGCTGCGCGAGTACTGATTGGACACTGTCCGCCGGCGCGGGCGCGAGCGCTAGTGTCTCTTTAAACAATCCGAAGCGCCTCCGGCCCCCGCCCCCGCCTCCGCCGCCGCCCGCCCCGGCTCATCTTGTATGGGGTGTCGCTGTGGCCCCAGGGGTTCGGGATCTGCGAGGCTGCGGAAGGCGGCGGGGAGCGCCCGGTGTTAAGGGGGATCACGAGTCGGATTGAAGTTGCCGGAGAGTAAGGAGACTTTGAGGAATGGCGTTGGGAAACGGATAGTGAGACAAGGTAGAGGGTTTAGATGGTAATAAAGAAGAATGGAACTCCATTTGAGCTATTAGAAACAAGTAACGAGAGCGATGTATTTAGAGAAAACGCAGTTGTAGTGAGTGTACTAAGTGATGAAATGTTCCGTAGTCTGGTGACCAAGAAAGAGGAAGGATATCCTGCTAGTGATCGGAGTAGTCACGGAAAACTACCCGTCCGAGCAGCTCGCTTTAGTGTCGTTTTATTGTTGTGTTGAAAATACATTTATCTTTGTTTTTTAATTGTTGCGTCTTTTAATTGACGCATCGCTTTTCGAATCTCCTTGGAGGGCGCTAAGTGCTTTTCACCTAGAGAAATCCTCCGTTAACAACGCGGGAGTAATCGTCCATTAATTATTTTACATTAAACGAAGTTTAGTTTAAAGTATAGTGAAGTAAAGCCTCAGGTTCTATGATGCTGCAGATCCTGCTTGTGTTACCACTAAGTCGTAGAAATCGGTGATACCTCACTTTTCCATTGTTGTAATTTCCAATTACCTCACATGTCGGAACACCAGTCGAAAGTATGTCCCGGGTGGGACGGTGCACCGCTGATGAGAGATACCTGATTGTAGAAAACCTCGCAAACCGATGTGCATGTCGGATCTCACCATTCAGCAAAGAAAGATCAGACGCCTCCCGTGATAAAACATGGACTACACGTACGGGACTAATGACAGTTACTGTTGACGCGCCCTGGAACACGGAACAATCAATTAATTAATCTGTTATTAAAGCCAGATATTTGTTCCTCATTGCAATTTATCTCTCAAATTCAGTTCTTTAAATAGTGAGTTGCACATTCCTAAAAAAAATGGTAAATTATTAAGTAATAACTGTAAGAGTGGGACGGTGTTGGCATGCCGATGGTGCTCGATGTCCGTGCAGAACTCGCGCCCTCCAGCTGCCCTTCGCAACAGCGCACAGAGAGGGCGCGGTGTCCACTGCAGGGCGCCCGGCGCAGCTGCGGCCGGGGCCAGGGTAGGCGACGCGCCGCGCC